TCAACATCAAAAGCAGAGGCATAAAGCAAAAATGTCTTCATTTTAGTGAGAGAAAGGTCCAGGAAGAGGAAGGGACGGGGACGCGTGAGAGTGGAAGAAAAATGTAATTTGTTTTTTTTTTTTAAAAAAAGACTCGACTCGAACCGATTGGGGTCGGGTCGGGTCGGTTTAGGTTAGGAGCCGGGTTGGGTCGGTTTGTGAAAAATCCAAAATCGGGAATATCTGGTTGGGTCGATTTTGGGCCAAATCTGACCTTACCCGACCTATTGCCCACCCCTACCTGGAACCTCCAGGTAAGAGGGTCCAACTCATGCTTCGAACACCAATGAGTATTACGCGAAAATTTACTAATAGAAAGACAACATGCCGCTGGGGACTTTAATGTACTTGATTCACAACATTAGAAGCAAGAGGTCCAAGGAAATTTGTTCCAGACAGGGTCAATACTTCACAATTAAAAATTGAACACAGCTATAAAAAATGAGAAGGAAGCTCTGATACCAATTGTTAGAATTAAATGTTTCCAAAAATCTCTTCTCAACTTTTATAGCATGCATTTATCAATACCAAAGTAAATCATACCTCCAATAGCTTATGGTTGACTTTCCATTTGATTGTTTAGGCTACAAAAGATAAGAAAACTTTTCTATGGAGATAAATACTCTCAACCCCCTTCCTAAACCCTTGAAACCGAGAACTCTCTAGAAGATAAAGAGGAAAATGGTGTATGTTTCTCTATATAGAATTCAATGAGCCAATTCTATATTAAGTGGGGGTGAGAGTAGGGCCTCCATATGTGTGTAGTAAAAATGGCCTATCCCATTATGGACCCATTCACCAAAATGTAAATGCTAGTCCATATTTATAGAAATACAATACAATAGTTGAACGCTATTGTTTTGGATGAATTACGCTATGAAAATAAAGCCATGTGGGAAGCTCATTATAACTACTAATATTCAATCAAACATGAAATGGTTGCGAGTTTACCTTGTCTAGTACGGTGTTCCGGCTACTCCAATCTACGGTTACGACTTGCAAAAAGAGGTCGGGGCTTTCTCCCCCATTGTACTTCCGGCGTGAGAATTAGTGTTCAGTATTGGAGAATATGGAGGGATAATATTGGAATTCAGATAGTTCGAGTTTCAAGAGTCCATAAATTTTCCCATATTGGGGTATTTATGGGCATCCGATGGCACGCCCATGTTCCATGATTTGTTGTGTCACGTGTCCCACGTGTATCTTCCCACTCCCTCACGTTCTATAGCGTCAACCGCCACCCGTCTAGTGGTTGGTTATTCTCGCTTTTGTTGTTCGGTGGTTTTCGTATATCTCAAGGCCATTTATTTGGCTAAGTATAGTGGGGGGTCGACGGCCTCGTTATGGTAGAGGGTAGATGGCCTGTGTGAGCGTAGAGCGCCTCAGAGGGGTCGACGGCCTTGTGATGGTAGGCGGACAATGCTGGTAG